TTTTTTTTAATTAAATAAGAATTTGTGCCTGTCCCTATATTATCTATATTGTATTGTCAGGATTTTTTTTTATGAAGAGCAAAATATTTTAAGTTGAAATGTATTTATTTTGGAATGATATCCTGTATTTTGGTTCATATTAATGGTTAAAAAACATAAATATTTAGTCTGTTAAATAAATGGTTATACTGTTCGGCCCGCGAGTTTTGAGTTTTGGCCCCCTGTGCAATTGAGTTTGACACCCCTGCATTAGAACATAATGCAAAACTGTTTCAGTTTGTGGTTACAGCCCTTCAGAATTCTTGTGTGTTTCTCCTTTTTTCTATTTTTTGAATGATTTGCACTTCAATCCCATGACAAAGCTAAGCAGCACATCTGGTATCAACTTGTGAACTTAGCACCATTTAAAAATGCTGTTTGTTCAGAAAAACAAAGGAGGAAACATGCTTTCAAATGTAATTTTCTGACACATTTATGGCAGTGCTTTGTGTTCTCTGGTTTTACAGATTCCCTTTACCTCAGTGAGATGGAGATTTAATCAAGAACATTTTTGAAAAAAGGAATATACAAAAGAAAATGACTGAATGAGGTTGACAAGAAGAAGAAAACAAACACAGTGGGCCTGATTTGCAATTACACTAACACATTTGGCAGTGTAAAGTTGCCTTAAAATAGGTATAATTGTAATTTACTTCCACTTTAAGGCCCCTTTACATTGCCAGAGTGGTATAAAGGGGGCTAACTGTAAATGAGAATCAATATTACTGGTTGGTGGGGAAAAGGGCCATATTCTGATCTAGTTTGCACAGAGGTAAATCCAGAGCAACTCTACTGTAGAGCAGAATCTAACCTAAATACGAACACTAAAACTATTGTTTTTAATCTGCTAAGCAAAATGTAACAATTTCCTTACAGTGCTAGCTGCTTCCTATTTTGGAAAAAAATGCCCATGTACAATCAATCACTACTAAATTACATTACTGATATCAAAATAATGTTAGTATAGTCCAGTAATACTAAAACAGATTTAAATTATTAAATCCTTACTCACTCTTTTCTAAGGACTCACTCAGGCAAAACTCTCATTCAAGCAGTGATAAATTTTGCCTGAGTAAGGACTCCACCATTCTTGCAAATGTTTGAATAAAAACTTTAAATTTAATCTTTCCATTATTTAGCAAATATTCAAATGGTATATGTAGAAATATCATAGAGCACTCAAAACTGCATCAGAATGAATATCAAACTCAATTATCCATGACCTTGTACATATTAACAACAATTTAGTAGAACTTATCAACTGGGAGAGCTGATCAATCAAAAGCTACTAGAGAGCATGTGTTGATGCTCTCTTGTTGTTATTGCTGTTTTTAAAACGTTGGAAGGTATTCAGATGCTAGGGTTGGGGGGGACTATCTAAGTACCTAGATACACAGATTCCCAGACAGTGGGCATGTTATACTGAGTGAAGGAAATTAACATTTTTATGAAAGATGAAGAATTGACTTCAAAAGCAAGTGTTCCTCAAATATTTTCAAAGTGTGGACTCCATCTTAATAGAAAGATTGTTTTGTGGCTCACTCCCACCTCCTCCACCGATTCATGATCAGTTAATATCCCTACTGTTTACAGTAGGAGAGTATTTAGTACATAGTTAGCAACTAGAAGTGAGGAGGAAGAGCCAGCACACATGACCGGCTAGCTCTCCATGGACCTCCAACAAGTGCATCTAGGGTGACCAGACGTCCTGATTTTTGCTTCTTTGTCCCGCGTCCCGACCGATGTTTGGTCGGGACACTGGACAAAAAAGAAATGTTGCGCTCCGCCCCGGCTCCGCTCCCCCCCCCCGCCCAGCTCCGCCCCCTTCCCCCATTGGCTCCCTCCCCAAAT